GGGAAGCATAAATAATATAAGCTAATCAGGACATTAAGCACTAAGTAGCACAGCTTATATGGTTTACTAAGGTTACTGGCTTCATTGTTTTGCAGAAAAACAGAACAATTGGGGTAATGTAGAGGAACGGTTCTCAGTGTGATTCTTAGCAGGCTCTCTCATCTGTAGAAAGAAAATCAACCTTTGGCATTCATTAAAGAATACCAAATCGCTTACAGTGTGCTAATCACCAAAATTTTCATACCAAGAATTTGTGATGGATGCTTTGACATGAAATATGTTATTTTTGCTGATTATTTTTTTTCCATAAACCTCTGAAAACAATTGAAAAAAGTATTGTAAATATAACTATGTTCTCGGTTAAGCTTTTTTTTTTTTTGAACAGGCTGGCAAAAAAGGAAGTTCCTAAATCTGGCTTACACCCACAATTTTCAAAGGTTTTAGCTGATACCATCTTCCTGTGTGAAAGGTAGTTGGAACTAATCAATTCATATTATGTAAATTCTAAACATTGTTTGCTGCAAATACACACAAATTGTCAAAATTGCTTTTAAATACTTACAGGGATTACTCTGGTAACAATAAAAACTAGATTCCTGGAACACACCTTAATATTACAAAAATTAAAAAAAAAATGTGCCTACATTATGATGTTAACATTCACAGAAATAAATGAGAATTAATGCTAACATCTGATTGATTGTTAATGACATCATTATTTTTTATTTTGTGTCCATTTATATAAATTAGGGATGCACCAATACCGATCACTAGTTCTGTGATTCACATCAGGCAGTGGGTGGGTGCATTAGCCAGCCTGCTATTGTCTATTTCAATTTTGAATAGCCAATAGCAGGCTTTGTTTATTTCTGCCCAATGTAAACATTTCAAAGGGTAGTCAGCGCCGTGTGTTTTTTTAAATTTCAGTCCGTGGGGGTCTGGATTGAAATCGTGGCACTTAAAAAGGAATTGTCAAAAACGTGTCTGGTGTTTTATGTTCAATTAAAGGATTTGGTGTTATGTATTTATTTATATTTTATTTAACTCTTTAGTGAATAAGTAGGGATACAGCTACCTCTTACTCATTCACAAGGGAGGCAGCATATGGGTGCACCCTTTGTAAAAGGGGGTAGCAAGATGCAGATCAGCCCCCTGCCCACAGATCCACACAACCATTGGGCCAGGGTTGTGGGGAAAAGGCCCTTGTCCTCATTGGCATGGGGACAGTGTTCTTTTGCAGGGGGTTCCCCCTGGAAAAGCACCTTTACAGTTTTGAGGGCATATGGCCTGGTATGGTGGAGGGAGAGGGGGCACTCACTTGTCCCCCCCACCTCTCCTGCCCTGCCAGGCTGCTGCCCAGATTAAGGGTCTGGTATGGGATTTTAGGGGGAACCCACATTTTTTTGTATTTTATTGGCATTGAGGTTCCTCTTAAAATTCCTACCAGACCTAAAGAGTCTGGTATAAATTGTCGGGGGGAACCGCACGCTGTTTAAAAAAAAAAATGTGTGGACTGTCAAAAGTTAACAAGAAAACAAAGTAAACATTTAATATCATTCTGCAATTAATTTTCATTCATAATTATCATTTAACTCATCCGAAATTAATACAAATTCTGATTCATCCCAATCTGAATGCCAAAACAAATAGACTTTTAGACCCAAATCCCGAAAAACAAAATAACCAAACATCCAAAATGAAATAAAACTAAATGATTTTTTTGCCAGCTTACATGTCTAATATAGATACAATATAATGATGCATAGCTGTTTTATTAGAACATTATGTAGAGATTTGGGGATGATGTAGTAAAATAATATTGTTGTTTCTTTTTCTTTTTACAGATATTGGATTCCATTTTAGATATGCCAGTGGACTAACCTGCATAATAATGAGGATTGATTATCAGATATTGAATGTTTTTGTTTGGTTGGTATTATTCGGATAGTTGAACAATTGTTTTGTAATTTGTGCCTCCCTTTATAGTGATACATAATTAATGTATTGGGAATGAAAGTGTTAATGAAAGATATGGGGTCACTTCCAGTCCTGCTCTATTTCAGTAGTATCATGATGTGTCACCTTCACTCCTTACAGTTATTGGACCTTGATCAATGGTCATAATGCTTGTAGTGATTGCACTATCACTAATTTGGCTGTGTTGCTAATCAATTTGTGTGTCAGGTAAAATTAAAATCTTCTAAATATACAATAAACTCTCAAAGCGATCTGACCCTTTATGATGGATGGTTTTATAACAAACTATTTGTTTTGATATAGGTCATATATTTAGAACTTTTAAGAAGTGTAGTATGTCACTATTTCTGTGTTCTTTTTGTAACTCAGTGTTGTTTCTGTTTCTTCTATTCTATTTCTTTTGATTTGTTCTGTATGTATGTCTAGACTTTTCAAGTCCAATTAATTTTCAACAAACTTTTGAAAAGATCGTAAATGTTTCACCTCAAAAGTGTCAGGAACACTTGAAAGGTCTCTGGACTCCAGGGCTATCTGAAATGCCTGACATTTACTCTGTGATTACATATTCTTCCACTTTCAACATGTTGCACCATAATATGCCATGCATGCAGGCTTTTTATTGACAAGACTTGATAATGGTAACACGCAAAATGTAGTAACTCATAGCAACTAATCAAGTCTTATATTTTATCAGTTCAGAATAGAAAGTAAAATGAAATTGCTTATTTGATTTTTTTATGATCTAATGTGCTTTGCTTGTTACTATTTTAATAACAAAATATTCATATTAACATTGTATAGTGGCGCCAAAAGTTGCACTTAAGACCATGTTATACACAGTGACAGTCTCCTTATAAGAAAATGTTTTTTGAGCCATTGAAAGCTTCCCTAAGCCTAAAAAGAATGTGCACCCTGGTGGCTGAATGAGCTCCAACTCCATGACTTTTGAACCCATATTTACATAGGTACATAGTTAGTCAGGTTGAAAAAATACAAAATTTAATCAAGTTCAACCTAAAGAGATAAGAGAAGAAAAACAAAAAAGAAAGAAGAAAGGCCTAAAACAGAATGCTATGCCCAGAGTTACCCACTGTTGATCCAAGGAAGGCCAAAAAACCCCTATTAAGCATAGTTCAATTTACTCCAACAGGGGAAAAAATTCCTTCATGATCTCATAAGGCAGGGATGGCCAAACTCTGGCCCTCCAGCTGTGGTGAAACTATAAATCTCATGAAGCATCTCTCTCCAGGAGTCATGTCTGTGAGAATCCTGCAAAGCCGCATGGGATTCATAGTTCCACCACAGGTGGAGGGCCGCAGTTTGGCCATCCCTGTCATAAGGCAATCACATATTCCCTGGATCAACAATCTCTGGTTCTTAATATACCTAAAGAACTCAATATCCAGTAATATTCTGTGCATTTAGGAATACATCCAGGTTTTTTTTTTAAACATTTAACTGAGCTAACTTGAACTAGCTCCTGTAGGAGTCTATTCCACATTTTCACAGCTCTAACTCTAAGAATCCTTTCTGTATGCAAAGGTTAAACCTCTTTTCCTCCAGATGCAAAGAGTGCCCCTTGTCCTTTGCAGCGACCTTAATGTGAATAATTTGGACCATTTCTGTATTTATACATGGTGATCATGTCTCCCCTTAATCACTTCTTCTCCAGAAAGAACAAATACAGGTCAGTTAATCTTTCCTCATAGCTGAGCTCCTTCATGCCTCTTATGAGTTTAGTTGCCCTTTTCTGCACTTTCTCCAGTTCCAAAACATCCTTTTTGTGAACTGGTGCCTAAAACTGAGCTGCATATTCCAGATGAGGTCTTACTAATGCTTTGTAGATTTGTAGAGTGGAAGGATTATGTCTCTATCTCTGGAGTCTAGACCCTTTGCAATACAAGTAAGTATCTTTCTTGCTTTAGAAACTGCGGCTTGACATTGCATGCCATTATTGAGTCTATGGTCTACCAGTACACCCAGATCTTTCTCCATCATTGACCCCCCAAACATACTCCCCCTAGAGTGTATGACTCATGCATGTTTTTAGTCCCCAAGTGCATAACTTTACATTTATAAACATTAAACCTCATTTGCCAAATAGATGCCCAATCACACAGTACATTCAGATCTGCTTGTAAGTTTGACACATCCTGTAAGGACTGTATTCCACTACATAACTTGGTGTCATCTGCAAACACAGAAATGCTACTTTTAATCCCCAACTCTATATCATTTATAAGAAAGATTAAACAGTAAAAGGTCCAACACTGAACCTTGGGGGACACCACTAACAGCCTCAGACCATTCCGAGTATGAATCATTGATCACCACTCTCTGAAATTGGTCTTTAAGACAGTTTTCTATACAAGTAGGTATAGTCCAATGTGGTCCTAGAATCAGGTGGAATAGTTTACTTTTACATGAAATAAATGTAAAGTGAAAACATTATGTTTTTGGTCAATTGTATTATTTTACAAATATATTATTATAAAGTGCACCTGTGAGCTTACTTTGCAAAGTATGTTGAGCTTTCTAAAGCTCAGCACTGCCAATTTGCCTGAAAAAACCTTGTGTATAACTGTCTAATCCATGTTATCCCATCTTTGCTCTGAGGTTTTGTATTTCTTCTGAATTATCCGTTATGCAATCTGTGTAATCTATTCTACTGCATGATTTAACAGCCTTTGAACGTGGGATGATTGTTGGCGCCTGGAGCCATGGAGCGAGTATCAGCAAAACAGCAGAATTCATCAAATGTTCAAGAGCAGCTGTTGTTAAAGCGTTTAAAGACTGGACTATCAGCCAAAAATCTGGGTCTGAACGTGCAAATAGTGGACCGTCAGCGACTACCTGTTGGCTGTAAGTCGGCTGTATATATGATGTATTCATATTAAACACTTCATAATTATTTTAATTAGGGATGTCCCGATACCGGTACTAGCATCGGTATCGGGACCGATACAGCGCATTTTGACAAGTACGTGTACTTGTCAAAATGCACCGATACTTAAGGCAGATACTGGCACTTTACATTTTTCAATTGGGTTGGCTGCCCGCGTCTCCTCCTCCATCTTCCCGGCTATAACATACCTCTCCTTCGTTCCGGTCTCCATGGGTGATGCTGCCTCCTCCTCTTCAGCCTCATCCGGCTCCTCCCACCTATCTCGCACAAGGCGCCAGATTCAATTGCAAGTTACACGTCCTCGCTGTAACTTGCTCGCCTCTCTTCAGACTCCCACTCATATCAGCCTCTCACCTGTCACATTCCTGCTCTACGATCCAGCCGTTCAAACTGGGGTTGAGTGAGTCCTGCTGCTCGTGCTCATCTCCCCCCTCCCCCATAATACAATAAGAATAATAATGAAATAAGTACACAAATATTGACCTAATTGCTACCTTGGATTTTAGGATATCATAGATTAGTTTTTATGTTTTCGAAACATGGTATCCTGGAGACTTTAGAAAGTTTATCCTTCCCATTTTGAAAGCTGCAGTAATATTTAATGAAACAAATTATGTTTAATTGTGCAGTTTTCTTTGTATTCCTTAGTTTTTATAAAACACTCTTACCACTGTCATATACTTATGTAGATTGTGAACTTATTTTTGAATAAAAGTGGGCTACCAGGCCCTTAAAAAGAAAATATTGCAAGTGGACTATGTCATTAAAATGCTACCATTTGAAGCTGAATCTCACAGAGCTTATTTAAAGTTATATGGCTGCACAGCAAATGCACCTGTCAAAGTCACATGTCCTGCTGTTATCTAGCCATGGAGCCCTCTCTTCTCAATGAGACTTCTCCTGCTACACACCATGTTTTGATTTTTATAAATGGTATGGGATGCTGTATGCATAGTGCAGTGGTGCATAACAGAGAGTGTGTAGTGATATCCACTCTCTGTTATAATAAATAAATACACATAAATCATGTATATGCTCATCCTAACTGCATGCAAACAACCTATTTGCATACACCTTATTAGCATTCATACACCTCGTGATTCAGTTATCATAAAAGTTAGTTTTATACATTTGTGATCAAAACATTTCCAGATTACAAAACAAAGGCATAGTGATGCAGAAGCAAATGTAAAAGAATGTTTATTTGTACTATACTGCATTAACATTGCATTTTTTCAAAGCAGAGTAATTGTGCACAAACAAGTTTGGTGCAACTTCTGTAAGCATTGACCCATAAAAATATTGAGAAATCATATTGCCCCTTTAATGTTTTTTTAAAAAATGATGAGAGGGAAGCATAAATAATATAAGCTAATCAGGACATTAAGCACTAAGTAGCACAGCTTATATGGTTTACTAAGGTTACTGGCTTCATTGTTTTGCAGAAAAACAGAACAATTGGGGTAATGTAGAGGAACGGTTCTCAGTGTGATTCTTAGCAGGCTCTCTCATCTGTAGAAAGAAAATCAACCTTTGGCATTCATTAAAGAATACCAAATCGCTTACAGTGTGCTAATCACCAAAATTTTCATACCAAGAATTTGTGATGGATGCTTTGACATGAAATATGTTATTTTTGCTGATTATTTTTTTTCCATAAACCTCTGAAAACAATTGAAAAAAGTATTGTAAATATAACTATGTTCTCGGTTAAGCTTTTTTTTTTTTTGAACAGGCTGGCAAAAAAGGAAGTTCCTAAATCTGGCTTACACCCACAATTTTCAAAGGTTTTAGCTGATACCATCTTCCTGTGTGAAAGGTAGTTGGAACTAATCAATTCATATTATGTAAATTCTAAACATTGTTTGCTGCAAATACACACAAATTGTCAAAATTGCTTTTAAATACTTACAGGGATTACTCTGGTAACAATAAAAACTAGATTCCTGGAACACACCTTAATATTACAAAAATTAAAAAAAAAATGTGCCTACATTATGATGTTAACATTCACAGAAATAAATGAGAATTAATGCTAACATCTGATTGATTGTTAATGACATCATTATTTTTTATTTTGTGTCCATTTATATAAATTAGGGATGCACCAATACCGATCACTAGTTCTGTGATTCACATCAGGCAGTGGGTGGGTGCATTAGCCAGCCTGCTATTGTCTATTTCAATTTTGAATAGCCAATAGCAGGCTTTGTTTATTTCTGCCCAATGTAAACATTTCAAAGGGTAGTCAGCGCCGTGTGTTTTTTTAAATTTCAGTCCGTGGGGGTCTGGATTGAAATCGTGGCACTTAAAAAGGAATTGTCAAAAACGTGTCTGGTGTTTTATGTTCAATTAAAGGATTTGGTGTTATGTATTTATTTATATTTTATTTAACTCTTTAGTGAATAAGTAGGGATACAGCTACCTCTTACTCATTCACAAGGGAGGCAGCATATGGGTGCACCCTTTGTAAAAGGGGGTAGCAAGATGCAGATCAGCCCCCTGCCCACAGATCCACACAACCATTGGGCCAGGGTTGTGGGGAAAAGGCCCTTGTCCTCATTGGCATGGGGACAGTGTTCTTTTGCAGGGGGTTCCCCCTGGAAAAGCACCTTTACAGTTTTGAGGGCATATGGCCTGGTATGGTGGAGGGAGAGGGGGCACTCACTTGTCCCCCCCACCTCTCCTGCCCTGCCAGGCTGCTGCCCAGATTAAGGGTCTGGTATGGGATTTTAGGGGGAACCCACATTTTTTTGTATTTTATTGGCATTGAGGTTCCTCTTAAAATTCCTACCAGACCTAAAGAGTCTGGTATAAATTGTCGGGGGGAACCGCACGCTGTTTAAAAAAAAAAATGTGTGGACTGTCAAAAGTTAACAAGAAAACAAAGTAAACATTTAATATCATTCTGCAATTAATTTTCATTCATAATTATCATTTAACTCATCCGAAATTAATACAAATTCTGATTCATCCCAATCTGAATGCCAAAACAAATAGACTTTTAGACCCAAATCCCGAAAAACAAAATAACCAAACATCCAAAATGAAATAAAACTAAATGATTTTTTTGCCAGCTTACATGTCTAATATAGATACAATATAATGATGCATAGCTGTTTTATTAGAACATTATGTAGAGATTTGGGGATGATGTAGTAAAATAATATTGTTGTTTCTTTTTCTTTTTACAGATATTGGATTCCATTTTAGATATGCCAGTGGACTAACCTGCATAATAATGAGGATTGATTATCAGATATTGAATGTTTTTGTTTGGTTGGTATTATTCGGATAGTTGAACAATTGTTTTGTAATTTGTGCCTCCCTTTATAGTGATACATAATTAATGTATTGGGAATGAAAGTGTTAATGAAAGATATGGGGTCACTTCCAGTCCTGCTCTATTTCAGTAGTATCATGATGTGTCACCTTCACTCCTTACAGTTATTGGACCTTGATCAATGGTCATAATGCTTGTAGTGATTGCACTATCACTAATTTGGCTGTGTTGCTAATCAATTTGTGTGTCAGGTAAAATTAAAATCTTCTAAATATACAATAAACTCTCAAAGCGATCTGACCCTTTATGATGGATGGTTTTATAACAAACTATTTGTTTTGATATAGGTCATATATTTAGAACTTTTAAGAAGTGTAGTATGTCACTATTTCTGTGTTCTTTTTGTAACTCAGTGTTGTTTCTGTTTCTTCTATTCTATTTCTTTTGATTTGTTCTGTATGTATGTCTAGACTTTTCAAGTCCAATTAATTTTCAACAAACTTTTGAAAAGATCGTAAATGTTTCACCTCAAAAGTGTCAGGAACACTTGAAAGGTCTCTGGACTCCAGGGCTATCTGAAATGCCTGACATTTACTCTGTGATTACATATTCTTCCACTTTCAACATGTTGCACCATAATATGCCATGCATGCAGGCTTTTTATTGACAAGACTTGATAATGGTAACACGCAAAATGTAGTAACTCATAGCAACTAATCAAGTCTTATATTTTATCAGTTCAGAATAGAAAGTAAAATGAAATTGCTTATTTGATTTTTTTATGATCTAATGTGCTTTGCTTGTTACTATTTTAATAACAAAATATTCATATTAACATTGTATAGTGGCGCCAAAAGTTGCACTTAAGACCATGTTATACACAGTGACAGTCTCCTTATAAGAAAATGTTTTTTGAGCCATTGAAAGCTTCCCTAAGCCTAAAAAGAATGTGCACCCTGGTGGCTGAATGAGCTCCAACTCCATGACTTTTGAACCCATATTTACATAGGTACATAGTTAGTCAGGTTGAAAAAATACAAAATTTAATCAAGTTCAACCTAAAGAGATAAGAGAAGAAAAACAAAAAAGAAAGAAGAAAGGCCTAAAACAGAATGCTATGCCCAGAGTTACCCACTGTTGATCCAAGGAAGGCCAAAAAACCCCTATTAAGCATAGTTCAATTTACTCCAACAGGGGAAAAAATTCCTTCATGATCTCATAAGGCAGGGATGGCCAAACTCTGGCCCTCCAGCTGTGGTGAAACTATAAATCTCATGAAGCATCTCTCTCCAGGAGTCATGTCTGTGAGAATCCTGCAAAGCCGCATGGGATTCATAGTTCCACCACAGGTGGAGGGCCGCAGTTTGGCCATCCCTGTCATAAGGCAATCACATATTCCCTGGATCAACAATCTCTGGTTCTTAATATACCTAAAGAACTCAATATCCAGTAATATTCTGTGCATTTAGGAATACATCCAGGTTTTTTTTTTAAACATTTAACTGAGCTAACTTGAACTAGCTCCTGTAGGAGTCTATTCCACATTTTCACAGCTCTAACTCTAAGAATCCTTTCTGTATGCAAAGGTTAAACCTCTTTTCCTCCAGATGCAAAGAGTGCCCCTTGTCCTTTGCAGCGACCTTAATGTGAATAATTTGGACCATTTCTGTATTTATACATGGTGATCATGTCTCCCCTTAATCACTTCTTCTCCAGAAAGAACAAATACAGGTCAGTTAATCTTTCCTCATAGCTGAGCTCCTTCATGCCTCTTATGAGTTTAGTTGCCCTTTTCTGCACTTTCTCCAGTTCCAAAACATCCTTTTTGTGAACTGGTGCCTAAAACTGAGCTGCATATTCCAGATGAGGTCTTACTAATGCTTTGTAGATTTGTAGAGTGGAAGGATTATGTCTCTATCTCTGGAGTCTAGACCCTTTGCAATACAAGTAAGTATCTTTCTTGCTTTAGAAACTGCGGCTTGACATTGCATGCCATTATTGAGTCTATGGTCTACCAGTACACCCAGATCTTTCTCCATCATTGACCCCCCAAACATACTCCCCCTAGAGTGTATGACTCATGCATGTTTTTAGTCCCCAAGTGCATAACTTTACATTTATAAACATTAAACCTCATTTGCCAAATAGATGCCCAATCACACAGTACATTCAGATCTGCTTGTAAGTTTGACACATCCTGTAAGGACTGTATTCCACTACATAACTTGGTGTCATCTGCAAACACAGAAATGCTACTTTTAATCCCCAACTCTATATCATTTATAAGAAAGATTAAACAGTAAAAGGTCCAACACTGAACCTTGGGGGACACCACTAACAGCCTCAGACCATTCCGAGTATGAATCATTGATCACCACTCTCTGAAATTGGTCTTTAAGACAGTTTTCTATACAAGTAGGTATAGTCCAATGTGGTCCTAGAATCAGGTGGAATAGTTTACTTTTACATGAAATAAATGTAAAGTGAAAACATTATGTTTTTGGTCAATTGTATTATTTTACAAATATATTATTATAAAGTGCACCTGTGAGCTTACTTTGCAAAGTATGTTGAGCTTTCTAAAGCTCAGCACTGCCAATTTGCCTGAAAAAACCTTGTGTATAACTGTCTAATCCATGTTATCCCATCTTTGCTCTGAGGTTTTGTATTTCTTCTGAATTATCCGTTATGCAATCTGTGTAATCTATTCTACTGCATGATTTAACAGCCTTTGAACGTGGGATGATTGTTGGCGCCTGGAGCCATGGAGCGAGTATCAGCAAAACAGCAGAATTCATCAAATGTTCAAGAGCAGCTGTTGTTAAAGCGTTTAAAGACTGGACTATCAGCCAAAAATCTGGGTCTGAACGTGCAAATAGTGGACCGTCAGCGACTACCTGTTGGCTGTAAGTCGGCTGTATATATGATGTATTCATATTAAACACTTCATAATTATTTTAATTAGGGATGTCCCGATACCGGTACTAGCATCGGTATCGGGACCGATACAGCGCATTTTGACAAGTACGTGTACTTGTCAAAATGCACCGATACTTAAGGCAGATACTGGCACTTTACATTTTTCAATTGGGTTGGCTGCCCGCGTCTCCTCCTCCATCTTCCCGGCTATAACATACCTCTCCTTTGTTCCGGTCTCCGTGGGTGATGCCGCCTCCTCCTCTTCAGCGTCATCCGGCTCCTCCCACCTATCTCGCTCAAGGCGCCAGATTCAATTGCAAGTTACACGTCCTCGCTGTAACTTGCTCGCCTCTCTTCAGACTCCCACTCATATCAGCCTCTCACCTGTCACATTCCTGCTCTACGATCCAGCCGTTCAAACTGGGGTTGAGTGAGTCCTGCTGCTCGTGCTCATCTCCCCCCTCCCCCACTTTCCTGTCGGCTGCAGCTCTTGGCAATCCTCCAGCTTCAGAGTGACAGTCTCCAACCCGTGTCAAGATTAACCCTCTCTGGAACAGCTGACTGCTTCTCTGCAAGTTCAGACTCATCCAGTCTGCTCCACTACTAACTGAAGTACAGAGTGTTCTGCAGGTCTACAGCCTCCTGATCAAAGCGGCTCCTCAAGTCTGCATAAACGCAAGTAACAATTAACCTTACTAATTATTGTCCTTGGTTGGACTTCTGTCCAAAACATTATTCATTTGCATTCCCTGGACTGTTTATCATATACTTTTACTTCCTAATTACATAATTTGCCAGATAAGTGACTATAGACTTTGATCTGTCCTTGTAATCCTTCTACTAATCCACAGCTGTGATTCCAGGAATTGCACATTATTTAGCAAAGTGTGTTACACTGGCAAGGCAGCCCCACACCATGAAATACAGCATCGGACCTGGCACATGACCGGCACCCGCTCCATTCGGCTCACTATGCACCTGTAGAGCGGTGTCAGCACGGCACCTGTCAGCAGCCCTGGAGAGACCTAATATGCAGCACTGGAGAGACCCAATATGCAGCGCTGGAGACATCTATACACAGCCCTGGAGAGACTCATTCGCAGTCTGGTGACATCTGGACGTCCCACCAGGCTGCGTCCAGATGCCACCAGGCTGCGTCCAGATTCTGTCTGATCTGTATTTAGCCCTGGTGAGATCTCGATTCACCCCTGGTGAGACCTGCATGCAGCCTGGTGACATCTGAATGCAGCCTGGTGACATCGGAATGCAGCCTGGTGAAAAACTGGCCTAAAATCATTAGTCTGTATTGTTTTAGAAAACAATTTCACATGTCCCTTTAGGAAAAAGTATCGGTAATTGGTATCGGCAAGTACCTGAGGGAAAGTACTTGTCCTGAGGGCATAGAGTCACACATACTGTATACACTAAGTGGCCAGATTATAATGACCACCTGACGTTTGTAGGCAAATTAGGTATAATTTCGCTCTAAAGTTGCTACAGGGCCAGACCATTATAAATAGGGAAGCAGGTTGTATACCACGACAGTAGAAGTGATTTTTTTCTGAAGATATGGGTAAACAATGCAATTTAACAGCATTTGAATGTGGGATGATTGTTGGCGCCAGGAGCCATGGAGCGAGTATCAGCAAAACAGCAGAATTCATTAAATGTTCAAGAGCAGCTGTTGTTAAAGTGTTTAAAGACTGGACTGTGAGCCAAAAACGTGCAAATTGTGGACCGTCAGCGACTAGTCAATGTTAGGGCAGAACGGAGAGTGGCAAGACTGGTACAAGACAACAGACAAAGTTGAAAGAGCCATCAGGCAGCTGGTTCCACAACCATCAAATCTCACAGAACGGGACAGTGCTATTCATCAGGCATGGTGTCAGATTCCTCGCATCACCTTTCAACATCTCGTGGAGTCAATGCCAAGAAGAATCGCCGCAGTATTGAAGGCAAAAGGTGGCCCAACTAAGTACTAATGGGGTGGTCATAATTATCTGCCCACTCAGTGTATATGCCACTGCATTAGAAAAAGCTGCTAGAGTGAGACGTGAGCACTGGCTATTGGAGAAGCCCTTTCTACTGGCCTGGGATTGTTCCTTCCAGGTGTTTTGTTTGCCTCTCCCTTGGCCTCCCCCAGGGGGGTCAGTGTTTTCCGGTGGGCTCTGACAAACATTTGTCAATCTGGTCTAATTACCTTTTAGTTTGCTGAAGAAACATATTGAGGAATGTGTAGTGAACCAAGAATATCATCCTACTGGAACCATAAAAGTCCACATGTGTATAAAATGTATATGGTTTTTAGGACATTCTGTGTTAAGTTCTGTATGCTATACTTAAAAGCCCCCTCCCAGCCCTGTTTAGGACTGGATGAATCCAATTTTCTTTTAGCGGTATATCCTAGTGCATAGAATGTTGAGTCTAAAGGCATTTTTAAGTCTTTTTGGAGCTATCCTGATCTGGCAGAGTAAATTAAAATATCTTCTCTTAGATAAATACTATGTAATAATAATAATGGTGGTATAGTAGTTAGCATGTAGAATCCCACTGCATGTATTTTGTATGGTCTTCCTCTGTTTACATTGGTTTCTGCTGTTTATTTCCCTTTATTTACTTATGTGCTGTAATTATTATTATTATTATTATTACATAGTATTTATATAGCGCCAACAGTTTGTGCATTGCTTTAATGTTAATTGTAGAGATTAGTGAACCAATTCCAAAACTAAGGTTCCATTAGGATAGCACCAGCTTGATTTCGTGGATATATGCAAACATATTCACAAGTGTGTAATTTTTAGTTCCTAATGATGTGCGTCAGGTTCACCATACTAGCTAACTTGCTGCCTAAACTTCCACTGTGTATTCAGCATTTCATTTAGAAGGTTGTATATTAACCAGTTCAGTTGTTTATTATAATTACTCTGTCTCTCTGTCTCAAGAAATGTTGACTTTTCAACCACATGAGGAGTGCATTATTTTTAAAGATGTGCCTAAATAGGAGGCCAAATATAAGTCATAAATAAATATGGCTGCCAACATGTACATATATAATTACAAATTATACCTAGAAACAATATTTTTGACCATAGCTACATATTAGTAAAACTGTTCATCAAGCTGATCTCTTTTACATGTTTCTTTAAAAATATTATAATATATTAAAATATATATTGAGATTATATAACTTCTTTACGTTTTAAACATGAGGTGAATGGTTCTAATGTGCCCTATATCATAATGTATTGTTGCTATTTGCTATATACAGAAAAATACAGGAAATAAAGCAAATAACATTTAGTAATTGCTGCAAAAGAACTGCCAGTGAAAAAAAGGTCATACCTAGCAGACACTGTGGAAGAAATCATATGTTATTTGTGGCCTTTATTTAAAACTGTTCTGTTGCTGTTACATGGGATAACAAGTGTCATCTAATAGTTCTACTATGTGTACAAAAGAGCAAAAAGGCCCTTGCCTGGTGTCACAATGGTTATTTACAAGCTGACAGCAAAACAGAGCATAATAGAGATATATGTATGTGGGTAGGTGGCATACAAGGAAGTATGTAATTAACAAGTAACAAAATGTTCGCATTGCAGGCATTTGCTGCAGTGTTTCCACTAAATTAATGCTAAACAAATTTCGTACTTAGAAAAGGACTATTTGGCTTCTTGTTAACTTCAGAACGACAACATGCTTAACGTGCATCTCCTGGGATGACTGAGCGTATGTTTGGCAATTGTGAATTTCCACTGTGCAGACCTGCAGAATACGATCTATACTTTAACTGGTGGTGTGCCAGAAAGCATTCTGCATCACAATGGAAAGAGTGCTGAGATGTGGTAAGTGAACAATTTACAATGACACCAGGGTGCAGTAAAAAGAACCTTACGATATACAGATTATACTTAGAACATTTATAATGTAAAAAAAACACAGTGGAAAAGATAGTTTCTTGGTCTAAACTGCTAAGCACAATTGGAATTCAGACGCCCACGTTGCTGACTTGGTGGCACACTGCACTGTACTGACTGCATAAATGAGGAGGCCAGATTGGAAATTTACATAAGAGACAGAAAGCAGGTAATAATGTTTATGCAACGCACATCTTTGCCTAACATGAAGTTAGACCCACTGCATGCATTTATATATTGATTGGTAAAAGAGTCAGACAAGCGGTAAAAAGCATAAAGCAGCATATGACTTAATTAAATGCAGATTGCAACAGTGTGAACATGTTTGAAGAAAATATAAGCTTTTGTTTTTGTAGAGTTTCAAACAAATTCCTTTAGCAAGTAAAGAAAAAAGGAGTAAAAAATGTTGTTGCTTTGTAATCTGTACAAGCATTTTCCCTTTTTGTAACAGTGCATTTAAATATACAGCGGTATCCACAAAGTCCAGTGTATAGTTACTTACAATAGTGAACATTATGCCCACTCTGTAGATCCCACTCTGTCCATTAGTGATGTTCATATGTAGATCTTATGCTATATAACCATATTTTTTAAAATTCTTTATATTGAAGAATTTATAACAAATACGGAAACACACAGTGTGCCACAACACCATAAAATGCTGCAAGGGTGCAGAAAGAGGTTAAACAAAAGATGGCAACATGACCAGGAGTCCATAATGCACATGCAGCCTCCCCTAGCACCACAAGAAGAGGGAGAAATTGAATGGCAAGTGATCACGAGTCTGGCACTCTAGCATTAAGTCATGGCAATCATGGCAATGGCCAAAACTAGACAAGAGGGGAGAGAGGGCAGGGTGGATCCAAAAAGAGGTAAACACCTAGGAGCAGAGAAGCAAGCAAACACCACCATAGAGAGAAAGAGCTAGATATAAAAGAGAAACAGACTAAGGAAAGAAAGCTCTGGTTAGAAGAAAAGAGAAAAAAAGGGGAAAAAAGAAGTATAAAAAAGGAGCCCTAAATCATGAGAACAGCAACAGCAACAGGGAAAAGGTCCACAAAAATCACACTCTGTCTTAACTCATGCCTCCCTAAGACCAAGAGGTAACTATATTCTTGGGAGAAGGTGAACTCCAGCCAGTAAAACCAAATACACTGAAACTTCTCTTCCCCATGGATAAAAGCTGCAGTGCCCTCTTCCTTGATCCTTATATGATTAACCTTCTTAAGCCAGAATTAAAGTGGAGGATGGTCAGAGAACTTCCAGTAGTGCGGAATACAAGTTCTGGTCGCATTTATCAGGTGAACCGAAAGAGAGTGCTTTGAGCGACCCTTGGGGGGGGAGAAAAATAATGGAGCACTGATGCAATTCAGCTTATCAGTAAGCTTAAAAATTATCCTTTAAACTGAATCACATGACCATGGTCAACTCCAGAAGATATGAAACATAGGGCCCACCTCCTGGCCACACCACCAACAGGGGGGGAGCATTGTGGGAACATCTTTTGTAAAGCTGCTGGGACATAGTATGCTCTAATGAGGATCGTGTAGCCTGTTTCCTGGACAGCGATGGAAATGGAGGCATTGTAGGCGAAAAAGAGGATGTGCTCTCTTTGAGTGAGCATAAACATAGGGGTCTATTCACTAAGATGCCAAAGGATCTAGCCGTAG